CTTGAGGGCCGTCGAAATTCTCATATTCCCCAAACGTGGGACGGCACGAGTCGCGAACTGCACGTTACGTCTGTTGGTTCTTACAGTTTAAGTCGTGTGTCTGATTGTTTTGGTGTGCCGAATCTTTCTATGTCTTCCTACTCAGTACGTCCTAAAGCCCCTGTCTTCAATTGGTAATGCAGCTTCGTTTCGTAAGTCATCGCATACTTGCACGAAGAACACTCCATTGAACCATAACCTAGCTCCCAACGAGGGAATGCGTTGACTAGCTTTTTTTGTTGCAATTTCTAATCAGAAGTGATTTTGACTCACCTGAACACCTCTCTTTAGGTGATAGGGGTATTGTTCAGGAAATTCTCACTGGTACATCAACTATTTAATCAGACAACATATGAAAGTTTGCAACTACAAGTTGAACTCTGGCTAGGTGCTAAAATAATTAGTTGTGCTCTTCTAAGTTGTTAAAGTTGCACATCCATCCCCATCTCAGGTGTTCTAACTTTAGAGTTAAACACTTGTACGCAAGCAACTGTGTCGAACACTTGCAAGTGATTAACTTGTTGTTGTAAAGTGTGTGCCGGTTGTATTCTTGATTACCAGTGCAGGTCTTTTCTGTGCTTTTAATTCTCAGGGTCTATGAGTAATACATGTTACATAAATTTTGTAATTTTTTTTATTACCCTGACAATTCAATTTTTAAAGTAATGATAACTTTTGTCTGTTATAGGTCCTGCAGCTTCATAGGCATTCAGTATCAAGGTGTACTGAATATCTTCAGAATGAATGACAATTGTCATTCATTCAGTGATAACTTGTGCACATTGATGAGATCAACATCTCTGAGCCTGTTATGGAGCTAGATGATTGTGGTTCGAGTCTGGAACTCTCCGGTTGGCGGCTGGCGATGTGATGTAAGTGCAGCCAAAATTCCATTCACCCCCGTAGTTAGAGTCATCCATTCGTTTTGAAATTCACTAATTCGCATCGCACCTCGCGATGGGCAACAATTATTTTCACTGTGATGACCTATCGGTTCCTGCTCAGCCAAAACGAACGGTGGAGGTAGGCACTCGCAGGGTCGGGACTATATATACACGACCCGTCCCAGCCCCCAGCCCCAGCCAGGAGGGAGGGAGCATGGGAGAATGATAGCGGGAAAGGTTTTCGCTCTCCCGGGCGCCACGCGCTGGCGGCAGGGGGTTGTATCAACTCTCATATCCAGGTGGGCGCGTGCGGGGTGGGGGAGCGGAGGTAGCGGAGGGGGAGGCGAGTGTATCGCGGAGCAATCACGCAGCACAAGACATGCACAATCATGCCGCTCCAGGTGAGCTAAGGGACTGGAGGGCGTCCGGGGGGAGGGGGAGGGGGGCGCAGAACCACCCGCCGGGCCGCCGCGCGCCGCGCCGCCGCGCTCGCTGACTCGCTCGTGGACTCGCAGAGCAGCAGCACGTCCACGATGACCAGCACCCTCTCCGCCGCCTCCAGGCGGGCGGCCTGCACCGTCGCCCTCCTCGCCGCCGTCCTCTACGTCCTGACCTCCGAGGCCTCCGCCGCGCAACAGGTGCGCCTTGCAGTGTCTCATGTAACAAGTCGCGTGTGACAGCCGTGAACGACTGTGCGTGTGTGTGCGTGTGTTTGGGAGCGGGTCAATGCACGTTTTCATGACGGACTGATCTTTGCCACGTTATGTTCTCTACAGCCGGCAATTTCTCGGGGAGCGCGTGTGCCTGTGAGTGTGTGCGTATGGAGGTGTGCGCGTGTGCGTGTGGAGATGCGAGAGTGAGTTCAAAGTTTGCGAGGCCACCGTGTCCAGTCCAGCAGACGAGGCGCGCTCTGCAACACGGTCGCCTTGGAAGGCAATGGGCCACACGATCCTGATGACCCGCGCAGAACGTTTTTAAAGGTTGCGAAATTTCACCATCATAATAGTTGTGTGAGGGCCAATCAACCGCGAATACTGCAGTATATGTGATACAACCAAACGAACCCGCAAGCTTTTTGCGTCATACATTTCGCCCCTCATGTGCATAGTCGTCTTGTTTGTGTCGGTGGTCGGACCACGCAGCCCGGGGCATGATGAATATGGAGCGCGACACCCCCCCCCCTCCCTCACACTCCTCGGCCTCATGCACTGGATTGACATATCGGACGGGCAGCAGCGCGCAGTCTTGCGAGATCACCGTCCGCTGGAAAGCGAGATACATGATTTTCCCCCCGCATGTGACTCAATAACAGCCTTCTTATTTTGGATCTGGTAAGCTGGGAGGGGGTGGGGATCCGAGCCCCTCGCCCAGCCCCTCGCCGGAGTCCTCCCGGAAGCTCCCTTGTTTTTCTCGGCCCCTGCCCGCGCGGCGCGCACACGCGTCTAGTTCCTGATCGCTTTCACGCCGCTTCGTGTAGGGTCGCTTCGCTCCCGCCTTCTTCTAGAAGAACTGCTGTTTCCTCCACATTTTATCCGGCCTGAGCCCCACTCCTTCTCCCTCCTTTTCCATAGGAAGGGCGGCGAATCTTGGGTACGGGAAAGGTAAAATTATGACGTGCCCAAGAAACTCCTGCTTTACTCACGTCACAGTCATCGAGTTGGTCCTCGCAGATGTCTATGTTATGCTTATTTGTACCAAATGTATTGTCGGGTATTCTATATAGATGCCTCTGTTCTGGCCTGCCGGCCTGATCTAGTTTGTGATGGAGGGGGGGGGGTTAGAGTAGGATCCATGGCACGGGATGGGCCCGCCGCCGCCGTGTTGACGTAAGGGTTAATCAGGCTTGCGTCTGGTTGGGCGGCCCGAGGGCCCGAGGGCCCCGGCCGCAGGAAGAGCCTGTCCTGTCGTGACGAGTCCTCTGCCCTGGCCTGGCGCAATGCGGCTGTTGTGCTATGATGCCAATCCCGCCTAACCCCATCTAGAGGAGGGGGGTCTATCTACGTACAGCAAGTACTTTGTAAATTTCATTCGAAAGATTGGTGTCAAAGGTGTGCCGTCAGGTCAGGTTTTAATTGTAGCTCGTGCCGCGCGCACGCTTGCCTACTCGCTCGTGGCCGTTAGGCAAACCCGTATCGCCAAACACAGCCGCATGCCTGGTGCACGCCCGAATAATGCACCGTAACTAGAGAATCTGGCCGAGCGGTGAAATTGGTTTCTTGGCGCCCAAGGGTGGTCAATTCCAAGCAAAATGTGGGCTCTATTTGGAAACCTATCGAAATAACTGTTTGGAGACGGGAGCGTTATTGGCTTCGGGATGCGAAGCGTAGCTGCTTGGAAACCAAAGCAAAGACCGTATGCTCGGAGCGCAAAATAACTGCTTGAAAACCATAAGCCACTTTTACCTACGGGGTTTTATCGGCAGCCCGGGTACAATATGTAATATGAATGCTGCCTTCCATGCTGCGAGCGCTGCGACCACGCCCCACCGCCTCCCCCCTGCGGCACCGCGGTCTAGAACCACCACACAGGTGCATGCGGGCCCTGACCTTGGCCTGCTTTGTGGTCCAATATACCTCGCGTACCCCTTTCTTTTCGCCGCCACGCCCCTTCCCCGCCACGCCCTGCCCCGCCCCACCACGCCCCACCCTGCCCAGCCCCTGCCTTCACGACGTTTTCCACGACCGCTCTCAGAGACCCACACGCGCGGGTGCACGATAACAACGCGATGTTTCGACGTGACTCGTAGAGACCAACGAGAACAAACTCCCTTGGGGAACGCTAAATGTATGCTTTAATAATGTATATTTTTGAGCGAACGTTCGTGCCAAGGACCTACGTTTCGATTAGGACAAATTTTGCGCAAAAGTGCATGATTTTGTACAAAAATGAATGCACAAAAGTGTTCAAATCAACGCAGAAATATGTGGAAAACATATGATCGTTTAGATTTGTAGAAATAGAAGATATAAATCCAGTAGGTGTCGATGCTGTCACTCATTTCGCGTAGTTGTGTTTTGGGGGATATTACACAAGGCAAAGGAGCCAGACTCCGAAATACCCAATTACCGACCAACTCCACTCGGAGAGTCTCTGTATAAAACCTAAGAGATGAGCTGCTGCTGTGCCTCGCCCCGTTTCGAACTTGGCGGGGTCCTGAGGAAGGGGAACGGCGGGACGGGCGGTGACATAACGGCCCACTGAGGGGGGGGGTGCCGATCGAGTTGCCGGGGAGACACGTTCACGATATAATCTCCGAGGCTCCATCGCTCCACCTCGGCGCGATCCAGACGACGGATATCCGAGGACCTTGCGATGCCCCCACCCCAACCCCCTTCCCTTGATACCCACCCGATGCGAGGAGTGAAGCCCGAGCAGGACTCGCAAGGCCGGGTGGTGTCCGCGGGTCCGGTAAGTTCGGAGAGGGATAGGAGGGGAAGGGGGGTGCCGAACCATTCACCGCTCTTCGATTTTTAACGGCGGCTGTTTTACGGCCGCGGAGTGGACGGGCGGGGCGGGGCAGGTCGGCGGCGCGGTGCGCGGTCCACTCCGCGGCTCGCACGGGCTGCTGGGTGGAGCGGCGGGGCGGGCGAAGGCGGGGAAAGGGCAGCGCACGGGCCGGGGCGGGGCGGCGGGTTAGGTGGGTATGGATAGAGCCCGCGTGGTGGAGCGTGTCGACACAGCGCGTGCACCGGGAGGGCGTTGCGAGAGTGAGCGGGAGAGAGGACCACAGCCAGCGCCGCCTGCTGCTGCTGCAACGTCAGTAGGGTGCGGCGGCGGCAGGCAAAATAGATGGACAGCGGCCGGCGATCAACCTTTGCGCGATGCGTAAAGTTTGTAGTGCCCGCGCTGTGGTAAGATATCGTCCAGACAGTGCGTCCGTCTTTCGGCGCAACACGAACCCGACGAGCCGAGCCTCTGCAAGCTCTCCGAGCGCCTGGGACGTAGGCAACATCGCGCCTTCCGCGCATGCACGTACTGCGGTGTGGCCTACCCGGTCTCTCGCAGGCGCGCTGTGTTCCCGTACTTGGCCGAATGAATCTGGCAAAAGGGCACAAAAACGAACGTACTTTCTGGACGACCACGAACATGACGGCAACGAGGTAGAGAGGTTTACCGTGCTCGCCGTGCTCACCGTGCTCATCCTCTGTCCCTAGAAGCGGCAGGTGTACCGCGGCGGCTTCCACCAGGGCGTGGCCGTGCCCGTCGCCGTGAGCCGGAAGCTGACGGAGGAGGAGAAGGAGGCCTTCCGCGCGGCCAAGCGCGCCCAGAAGGCGGCGGCGCACGGCCACGAGGAGATCCCCGGGCGCGCCGGCGTGGACTACCCGACCTACCACGAGGTGCCCGCCACCAGCTTCTCCTGCCAAGGCGTGCCCGTGCTGCCGGGCATGTACGCCAACGAGGAGACCGGCTGCCAGGCCTACCACGTGTGCCACGACGGCCGCGAGGGCGACCAGGGCGCCTCCTTCCTCTGCCCCAACGGCACCCTGTTCAACCAGTACGACTTCAACTGCGACTGGTGGTACAACGTGGACTGCAGGCAGGCGCGCAGCCTCTGGAGGTCCGTCGAAGATCACCTAAACACTCTTAAACAGAGATTTTGTCCTGTTTGATACAAATTTTGCTGGATAAGAATTTGAAATTAATTACTTTTTCTTTGTTGATTGCAGCTTTAACGCGGACCCCGAGAAGAACCCCTACTACCCCAAGAAGAAGACCCCCGAGCAGATCGCCGACATCGAGGCTGGCGCGTACGCGGCTGCGGTGCAGCAGACGGGTCGTTACCAGGAGCAGGCCGAGAAGTACCAGCAGTACCAGCAGTACCAGCAGTACCAGCACGCTGCCTTCTAGATCATATCACTATTTACTTAATAATGGCTCTTTTTTCTCGGAAAACGATGTTTTAATTGGACTTATACAAACATACAGAAGAAAAAGACTTGATGAAAAAGTGACGAAGGGCCAAAAATGATTTGTAATATACTATTTAATTTATTTGAACGACGATGTTACCAACAAGATGGAATACAGCAATGTAACAATCTCTGTAGTGTAGGAACGCCTCATTGTCCTTGGATTTAACGGAGAGCAAAAATCACTTGAAGCAGAACTTATAAAGACTTTACAAACGGTAAAAGGCTGTAGTCCCGAAAATTTGATTGTATTCCCTCACATGCCATTACTAAACACGTTTGCTGCTGCTGCAGGAAAGGGACCACACAATTATGAGGGTAGCTTCTACCTCGATGAAACAATGACTCACAAATTTACACTCAGACAGACCCGTAACTTCTAGACACATCGATAACACAACATAATTATGGCTTTATATTACATAACAAGTAGTTCTAATATTTACATAACACTTACTAGTTGAACGAAATAAAGTCCGTCACTATTCTCCCTCTCATACATACTTCTGTAGGTAACCGCGCATGGCAGGGCTGAACCCATCAATTCGTTATGCCAAGTAAGTGAACATGCTTTGAGCAGTGGTGGCTGCTCCTGTGAGAGCAACAAAGAATATACAGAATATATAGAAGCAAGAAAAATAGTCGCAGTGATGTTAGGTCAATCGGCGTCACTCTGACTAAATTGAGTCGTCAAGATTAGATAAATATGAATTGAGAAGAGTCGCGCGTCATTCATCCTTACATTACATTGTTATCAAAAACGTTCCACTCAAGTAGGAGCCCATAGGGCGAACCGAAAGGACACATAGTAGACTCTGCAATCGCCCAGGTCGGGTCGGCCAGCGTGTGTCTGTCCAGCAAGCGCGCCGGGGGGTTGACCGACCGATTGCAACCTTTAGCAAAAGCATTGCAAGAGAATCTGGCCTAATAATTTTTTTTCCCTGCGAAATGGATGCCATTGAAAGTAGTTTGAGATAAACCGTTACTTTAGTCCGCCCGCGTATACTGTTTGCCGGCAGCCCAAGCGCCGGGCGCTGCCCCAGCCCGGAGCGCGCCGGCGCACGGTGGGCTGCCTACCGCAGGGCGCCACTCCCCTCCCCAGACTCCCCAGCCTCACTCACTTCACGCGGCCGACTCCTTTCACCGGCTCACGTAATGCGGCTGCGCGCTGGCCGCCACGGAGGGAAGGCATTTGGCGGGGAATACGACGCATCTCAAAGCTTTCTGCCGTGCCGGCGTTAAAGACACAGAGTGACGGCAGTCATGATGACGTGTCGCAGGTCCGGCCGCTGCCGGAGGCGACCCGCCGCTGGGCTCCTAGAAGGAGGTCAGCGAGTGGAGGTGCTGCAGACGGTCCTCGTGGTCGCTGTTGTACAGCGCGGCCAGCTGGTCTGGGCTCAGCAGCCCCCCTGCAACATGCTCTGTTAGACCTGCGCCTGTGCATACCCCCTCGGCATCTCGCGGCTCGCGCCCTCACTCTCTCACTCACCAGGCAGTTCGGAGGCCCAATCGTCGTCCAGGAGGAAGGCCGAGTCGCCCAGCAGGGAGTCGTCATCGTGGGCCTGAAAGGGGGACGTGGCGATGAGTCGACGGGCAGGTGGAAAAAACCACACGGGCACCGAGACATAATGGGGTAGGAGCGCCCAAAGATCTCGTGAAACTCCACACGGTTAGAAACGGTAGTAATGACAAATATGTCCCACAAGATATTGCGGGATGTCCTTTCCCCCCACCCCCACTGCCATGGAGTACGGTTATTGGACTGGGTGGGAACTCACACTCACCTCCGAGAGGGACCCGTGGCGGAAGCTGGAACCGTGCCCGGAGATAAGTCCTGAGCCGAGGCTACCGCCGAGGCCGGAACTGAGGCCCGAGCTCAGGCTGGAGCCGAGGCCGGAGCTGAGGCTAGACCCAAGGCTAGACCCAAGGCTGGAGCCGAGGCCGGAGCTAAAGAGGTCGAGGTCTCGCCCTGGCCCGGAGCTGTCGTCGGGGTGGCGGCCGTCGACCAGGGAGGACATGTGCTGGCCCCAGCGGGGGCGGTGCGCTGGGCGCCGGGGGCCAGAGGGCGCCTTGGGGGGATGCGGCACCTCCAGCGGGTGCACGGCCTGTTTGTTGTGGTAAAGGCCGGGGGGCGGCGGCGGCGGCTGCAGCGCCGGCGACGGGAAGGGCGTCAGGTTCACGTCGTCCTGGGGTCGTTGCTGTGGCACAGGCGGTGGAGGTGGTGGCGGCGGTGGTGGTGGTGGAGGCGGCGGCGGTGGTGGTTGCGGGGTCGCCGTGGCAGGCTGCGGCGGGGCGTAGGCGGGCTTGTGCTGGGGGTTGAACGGGCGCCTAGGAAGGTCACCGCTGCCGCCGGCCCCGCCCGCACCGGGCAGCTGCAGAGGCGGGCCCACCGGTCGCTGCAGCGGCACCAGGTGCTCGGCATGCTGGTCCCAGCCCGCCGGCGTGCGCAGCAAGTACGTGGAGTCCACCTGCAACGGCTAGACAGTGAGAGGGAGGGCGGCGGGGCGGTCCCCTATGGTCGGGCCAGCCCGGCGGGCGCGCGTGCCGCACGGGAGTGCGTACCGGCCGGGCGCTCAGCTAGGGCTGGGCCCGGGTCCCCAAGGCCGCCGTCGGCAGCCGCGGCCCCAGACCCACCCACCCGCGTTTTAACGGCGACCCGCGCAGCGACTCGAATAATTAAACGGCGTCCCTTAGCGGTTGATCGGTCACCGCTTCCTCTGTAACGACCTCAGCGACCTTCGTCCGTCCCTTCGGCGCAGCAGTGCCTCGCGCCTGCTTGCAACGGCCGCTACCGGCCGCCGGCCAGCCTCTCGCTTTCTGTCATAACTAAACCCCGTCGAGCTCTGGACGCGCGCAATGCCACCTCCCTCAAAACGCCCTGTTGGCTGGCAATCTCGCCGGCTCCGCGTGGAAGCGAGCCGCTGGCGGAGGCGCCGCGCCTGTACCTGGAGAGGCTCCGTCGGCTATGACTGACGCCCTCGGCTGATTACCGCAAAAAACAACAACAGTGGAGCGGCGTGGCGGCGCTCGAGCCGGCGGCGCCGCTGACCGGCTGACCCGGGCCGCCGCGGCCGTCGCGTGGCGTCAGCGTGGACCAATCACCGTGGGACAAACGGGCGCAGGCGGCGACAACAAAGCGGGCCGGAGCCACCACCTGGAGGCTGATCGGGCGGTCGGGAGCCCGTGTGCAGCCTGTGGGGCCTGTGCCCCCGCGCCAGCAGCAGCGCGCCGCGCCCTAAAGGCCGATGGGCCCCGCCGGCCCGGCGGCGCGGGGTTGAGAGTCGTGCGTCAGCGTGGCGCTCGCGGCAGCACGACGGCCTCCCTTCCCTTCCCCCCTCCCCACCCCGTACGCCGCGCGTCGGCCCTTTAGGTTTGCGTCATGCGATGGCTAATATTCGCTGCCCCATTTAGTTTGCCCATCGCCGCGCCGAGGCCCAGCCCAGCGGGCCCAGCCCGGGCATTAGCGCGGCTAGAAGGTGTGATTAAGACGCTCCGCCCGCGGCTCGTGCCGCCTGCAGCGCGTACACAGCCCAGAGCGTGCTCGGGGGTTTGGGGAAAAGGTCTCGTCTTGTATCCGCACCTCACGAGGGAAAAGCCGAGGGGCTCTTCACTCAAACAAAAAAAAAGTGTACACCCCTTCCAAAAAACAAACAACAAAAAAACAACAGAAAAATTCAAGGAAAAATTATGAAAAATTAGAAATCAGGGGACTACAGAAAATTGCCCAAGTATTAATAAGTAGTGTGGGTGAGACCAAAACGATGGGCATTATATGTCGCAAAAAGAAGATCTGCTTGATGTTTATCTTTTAAAACGGAAACGATTCGATAGTGCGTTTGCCTGCGCATGTCGGATCGGGTTATCTATTGATGAGCGACATCGGCCCTAACCGCTGGGACATTCAGAACTATCTACCTGACCTGATCGCCCCATCCCTCTACAAACACACAGAGGGACCGGTAGCTGGCTGCCTCTACTACAAAGGGTAGACAGTGGACAGAATTAATTCAGCGATCGTTTGCGATGCCGAGGGTCAAAGGGCTCACCGCATGTGTTGAAAATGTTGTCCCAAATTTACGACACTTTTGTTGTTAATTTATTAAAAGCGTAGTTGGTATATAAACAGTCCAATGTCGTTCCTTGACGCTGCTCACAAAATCAACTACAAAAGTGTCTTAAATTGAGCACGAAATGTTTAACAGTGCAGGCGCGTCCTGCTCACCGTCTCACCGTGTTCTGGGACTGGTGTGTCTGGCCCTCGGGCGGCACGTATCTGCCCTCGTCCGTCTGCAGGATCTTGATGACGGAGAGGTGCGGGTCGGCGGTGTGCGTGTGGCCGTCGGGGTGGCCGTGCGGGCCGTGGCCGTGGTGGCCCGGGTCGCCGCCCTGGCCGTGGCCCCGCCAGTGCAGCAGCATGCCGTCCGGGACGGAGAAGCCCGCCTGCTGCAGCTTGTTGAGCGCCAGGCGGTCGGCGCGGAAGGCGTCCTCGGGTATCTTGCCTCCGGTGTGCGGCGACACCTGCTCCCGGAAGATCTGGCGCTTGTGCTGCGGACAGAAGCCAGGCCGGGAGAACATCAAATAAGACACACAAACATACAGCAATGAACCAGCCATGCAATTCGCTTGATTTCACACTGTAAATGGGTTGGCGTCTTATGACGCCAAAATATTGGCGTCTTATGACGCCAAAATATTGGCGTCCTCTATAGAACGCCAAATTTTGGCGTCATAAGACGCCAATTATTGGCGTCGAGCATAAGAACGCCAAAATTTGGCGTCTTATGACGCCATATTCTGGCGTCTGCCAGAATTTGGCGTCATAAGACGCCAATGTTTTGGTGTCAAAAGACGCCAACCCATTTTCAGTGCAAGAGATTTCAAATGATTCGAACTGATTTCAAATGATTTGGAGTGAATTCAAACAATTATACACTCTAAAAAATAATACAGAATTCTGTATCAAATTTGATACAGAATTCTGTATCAGGCTCTTGTGATATGGAAACATGTAACATGGGTACAAAATTCTGTAATCTGATCAAAATGTTACAAAATACCGTAAATGTTACTAATTTCCGTAACAGATACAAGATCAAGTAACGGTGGATACAATTTTCTGTAACCCTGGATACAGAATTATGGAACTTCGTTGGCACGGTCTCCGGGAGCCCCGGTGCCATTACACCGGGTTCCAGCGAACCTCTCCTCAGGTAGCCTGGGTGGCCGCGCGGGTAAAGGCGCGACTTCCTAATCCAAGGGTCTGGGGTTCAACTCCCGGTGCGGCAAGGTACATTACGTAAAACAAAATCGAAGGAGTTAAGTCCCCTAGAAAAAAATAAGAGGGGGAAAGGGAGGAAGAGTAACAAAATGAAGAATTACAATTTTAAAATCCCAAAGATGTTCTGTATCAGGTGATACAGATTTTCGTATCCATGTTACAGATTAAAATCTGTATCAAAAATGATACAAATTTCTGTAACATGTGATATGTAAATTACTGCGTAACAATGTTACAGAATTTTGTATTGATTTTTTTTAGAGTGTATCAAATCAATGAATTTTGTAGAAGTCAGGATGATCTAGTTCTTTCGAGGGATTTTAAGTGAATTAAACACGGGATTTGAAGAATTTCTATTGAGTTTGAACGAATTTAAGGCGATGTTCAGTGAATTCTATATAATTCAAGAGATATCTAGTAAATTCGGAGGAGCGCTGAATACAGCGTAATAACGCATGTTATCACTCGATGATAACGCGGTGCACATTTCAGTTTTGTGGAAAATTTTCTAAACGAGCTCTGAGATTTTGTTTTTGAAAGCACCATCGGATTTCTCGCGAAATTTCCGACTAAACAAGCCTACATGTGATAGGGTTCGGAGTTCAAATTATAACACGGAATAAGACGTGTTCTTATAGAACCTTTATTCAGAACCCTATCACATGTAGGCTCGTTCGATCGAAAATTATACGGGAATTTCACTGGTGCTTTCAGAAATCAAATTTCAGCGCTTGTTTAGAAAATATTTCACAAAAACTGATATGTGCATCGCGTTATCATCTTGTGATAACATGCGTTATTACGCTGTTTCCAGTGAGTTCATGGTATTTCAGTGATTTCCGGTGATTTCCAAATGATTTCGAGTCGAGGGACGGTACAACTGAGTTCTAGGGTGTTGTGGGCCCCTCGGGAGAAGAGCTTTATCAAAACACCGTTTTTGAAATTTAAAAAAAAATGTTTCTTGGACCAACCCTTGATCTTCTACTCTACGGTTCATCCCTTTGAACACATTCCCCCGGCTGGCGGCGGGCACCGTTAGGTAAGTTGGGGTGGGGGCAGCGCTGCAAGCAGTAAGCGTCTGGCTCCCCTGGCGCAAATCACGACCTCGACTCGTCGCGCCCAAATACGCCGTTCTCACGATTTCGATCCGCGCGGCCTTGCCCCGCCCCGCCCCGCCCCGCCCCGAGACCCATCGCCGTAAATCAAACAGATGCGCGGCGCCGAAAGAATGCGCTTCTGACGGCTTTCGTTATCAGCGGCGCACTTTGGAGAGACGTCTTCGCCTCGCTAGCTGCGGGAGAGAGAGGGAGAGAGAGGGAGAGGGAGAGAGGCGCGCGGCCGGGGCCCCTCACACGCGAGGCCGCGAGGCCCTGACACCTCGACACATTCCATCGCGCCCAACAGGTGCAAAATAGGAGCGTGTCGTCCCGTCACCCGTCCCGTCACCCGTATCCCGTCACACGCGCCCTCACGCACAGTCGCGCAGGCACGCACTGCCCGTGCCCCGCTGGCTGCTGCTCCGCTCTCCAAGATCCAATGAATGCGATAATCCGACCCGCCCCATTGCGTTACAAGTGATGCCGATCTGCCGCGCCACCGGCCACCGGCTGCCGGGGTGCTTCGCGTAGACCGCGGGATTACCGAAGTTTGAGAAGAGTTTTGCAAGAAATGCTCACCAGGATGTGGACGACTGCCAAACCACTAACGTGTGTATGCGCGCGCACCGTAATAAGCCGTCCTTCCGCAGCGCGAGGAGGAAAGGTGCCCCGTGGATAATACGCAATAATGAGGGAAATAATGGATACGCACTGCGAGTGGCGGAGAGAGTGGGACTTTAGTAAGCGAGGAGAGAGAAAGACATGTGTGTGACGGAGAGGGGAGAAAGGCGAGAGGAAAGAGAGATCTTTTCAAGTTTATAAATGTTATTGAAACTCAGGAAGTCGAATAACTTAAGTCGATGTGGAATCGGTGGGCACTGGCGTTCAATATCATCGATATCATGCTGCATGCGTAAGTTTTCCCGTTGTTTTCTACTGATGTTGATTTTCAGACTGTGATGGTAATTATGCATTTCAGCTCTGGCTTCGGCTTGACTGGGCTTGACTGCTTAACTTACGAAGTGTCTATGTGACACAATAAAAGCTAGAAATGTGAGAAGTTATAGAGAAATATCATGGGTGAATTGAATAATCCATGTGCTACTAGTTGTGTGTGTGAGTTGTCTAAATTTATCCTGATTTATCTGTTACTCTTTTGAGTCCAGGAGGACCTTAATAGTGAAAAATGACGTTCAAAACGATTCTGAAAGCGAAACAATGAGAAGTGGGGACCAACAATGTCTCTTTAGTAAAAGAAAACTGTGAGACAGAGACAGAGGGGTTCGGGTCTGACCAAACTGACTGCTGCAGTTATGACCGTACTTACTTCGGTCCCACGGGGGCAGCGGCAGCGGCAAAGGTCAGCCAGGCCATCAAAGGCAGACACAACGTCTCAATCCAGCCGAAACAGCGCGAGCACGCCGAGGACCCACCCCCAACCCCAACCCTTCCCCTCAAGCCGAGTGGCTACGTTGTCGTTCCTATGGCTATACTTTACGCTGAACGACTAGCGCGCACGCGCAAGTAGTGGGTAACAACTTCTTTTGGCGATAGCTGAACCGAAACGTTGACAGTGGATGGTAAAAGAGAATAACTAAATTACCAGTCTCATTTTAAGAACCCCGCGAGAGGTCAGAACAAGGTATTTCTGTAGCGGTGTCCCCGCCCCGCCGTGAAGGCGCTTCGCTTCGGGTGGGGGGGGGGGCGTTCTTTTGGGCGAAAGACATAGCCTGCCCGCTCGCATCATACGCGCGCCGCAGGAGAACACCACCCGCCGGCTGTGCTCTGCCTGGGACTGCCCCGCGCCCAACTGACCTACTGGCGGCGGCACGCCGGCCGCACTGGCAGCCAGCAGGGAAGGGCATCCCGCCTGGACACCGATCGGGATTGGGAAGCCAATTGAGTAAAGATGCTTTCAGCTACCTGGCAGCGACCCGGGCGCCCGGAGCATAGGCCCGCCTGTCGCGCAGGCGTGGCTCGCGGGTCTGCCTACTCGCTAGGCGCCTAGCGGACGGACGGTCGCATCGCCAAATGTCTTGGGAAAGCGGCCACGCGGATGAGAGCCTCTTTTTACTATGTCATCGGCGGGCTCCCGACGGGAGGGCGAAATTATTACTACTCATGGTGGGTGACACCGTGACCTGGTCGGACTCCGTACACTGTGGAAACTCCGCCGCCGCTATGAAGAAAGTAAATGAGCGGCTTGGCGGGGCGGGGCGGCGGCGTTGTGCGCAGGGAGGGCGGGGCGCTAGCCGGCGCCAGCTTGTCTGCAGAGCGGCCGTGGGAACACGGATGTCGGTTAGACCCCCCGCCCTCCCAGCAAGTGTAAACTGTGCCCGTGTGTGTGTTTGAAGCAGTTCCCGAATGAGATTAATAAAAATTAAAATTATTGATTGTTAAACACTTGCATTCGAATCACATTTTTATCCAACCGCGTGCAAGGTAAGGGCAAGATGGACCACAAAGAGTAAGACAGACAAACGGACTTTTCACCGCCGCCACACTCTGGTAGCAAATCTATGATTTCCATACTCTTTAAATGCAGGTAGTTCGTGAATGATAGAAAGTGGAGTTGCTTATGAGTGTGCTACGACTATGACACACAAAACATGCATATTTCTTCAATACATTTTTGGAGGAATATAAATTGATGATTGTACGAGTCTAACTAAACGTGACTAGAAACACGTTTTTAGTTCCAACATTTCAACTGAATCACCACATCGATGCATCAGATCAAGTGAAATATATGCCAAAAAACTTGTTATACCAATGCAGCCCCACACGTGCACGTAACCAATGTATTGCATCCAACAGCCTCCTCACATCGCCGGCATGCATGCTAACGTGCCTGCGTACCTGGACTTCAACATCTGGGACCTGCGTTACTTTCTGTAAAAAGAGAAAGGAGGGAAAAGTAATCAAAAACATAGTCAACGGTCGCGCGCGTCCGGGCGGCGCTGCTGGTGAGGGGGCACGCAAGGCAGGCAAACAAACAGGTGTCGACACCGAGGAGGAAGACGGGACGGGCTGCGAACCGAATAAAGGCGTGAGCAGGCCCCGTGAACCTGTGGAGGGGCGGGGCGGGGCGGGCGGATTCCCCTGGAGGGAGTGCTGCACACTGCCTGCCGGCTGCCCTGTCTGCGTCTGTTGGGCCGGACTCCACCGGCTCAACACCACAAGCCTTTCACTCGCACAATCCTAACCCCAGCCATTCTGACCTGGCGAGTGGTGAGTGGTCGCTCGTCATTTGCATCATTTTCGGGTCGGAACATCCTCGTAAAGGTCATGATCCCCCTGGGATAGGGGCCGACGACTGCCTTGTGCACCAAGCCCAAATCGTTTTTTGAGGTCGGGTGAATGTCGGATGTCGGAAGTGAACTGGAGGAAAGTGACAAGATTACGACGCGGGATCACGTGCGATGGGTTATTACAGGCCGACTGGAAAGTTCGAACCACAAAATTCAAAACTACCCGTCATCAAAGTAGCAGCTGCTGGCGGACAGCACTACAGGGGCTGGGTGAGAATTCAAGCGCCAAGAAGCAAAGGGTTTGTTTCGAGCTGGACGCCAGTTAGTGGTCACACCAGCGGCGACCCCACCCCGCCCCGCCCCGCCCCACCCCGAGCCGGCGTGGTAGCTCCTGCGGGAGAGCCAGCGTGCCAACACGCCACTTTCCCTACCGCACCGCAACACATCTCTTACGTTCTGCTTGCCAATAATGAATGATGGCATTTCGACTAACGGCGCGTTAATCGATGGGATCGGAGTGGGGCTGCCGGAGCGCTGCCGGGCGGGCGGCGGGCGGGCCCCACGCCGCCGGTGCAAGTGAGGTGGTGGTGGTGGTGGTGTTGGCAGCGACCACTGGCCACCCTGTGATTGCAAAGGATTGTCCACCACCTCGGCCCCGCCGGCCAGAGCCTGGTCGTCAGCGAGACATTCACTCCGTGCGGCGCCCGTCACAATAGGCGTAGTTACCGTCGGTGTGATTAGTAAACTCGGGTGATTGCGGGCGCCGAAGACGCCGAGTTCCGCCCCGGTGGGCTCGACCGGGGAGGCTTCAATAAGAGAGTCATTAGGCACGAGCGGTAACGAACCACCTCGCCGGCCGCATATTCATAAGGCCCCCATCCCGCTCCTCTCTTCTCTACAACCTCCCCCCTCCTCCCCTCCCTGATTGGACCGGGACCAGTTCCTCCCGCTGTTGCATTAGTCCGAAGCGATCTGCCTCCGCCGTTGCGCACTATGCATCGTTTCGTCTGCTCCCGGCTGCTACTATCCGCGCCGGCACCCGCCGCCGCCGCGCCCCCGGGGGGACGCCTCGCTTCTCCACCCCGCCCCACCCCGCCCCGGCGTAAGGTCAGGTGAGGCAGCATTGCTGGAGCCCGACCTGCCAGCCCATGCGTCCCCAGGTCACCAGACTGGTCAACGGCATGCTGGCTCTGGTGCTGGTGCCGGGGCGGTGCGGGGCGGGGCGGCCCGGGGCGCGGTGCCGGCCCGCAGCCGCCTGCACGAGGAGGCGATGCGATGGTTATCGGTGGCGCGGGGCCCACCTGCCAATAAGCAGAAGGGCACTCGACCTTTGGCCTTTGGCGCGCGCGGGGCTGTGTATGGTGCCGGCGGCGCAACCGGCGGCGCCAGGAAGCCGTCGAGGAGGGGACAGCCGACCGGGACCCGCCAGCAGGGCCGACGCAGCCTCTGGGCTGGACGGGGTGCTTGTTCGCAGATGATGAGACGCCCGGCGCCAGCACGGCCAGCCAGCGGGCCGTCGCCATGGCTACCAAGGGAATGTGATCGCATGCGCGCATAGTCACACACACATACACACACACAGCCAGTGCACATACACGGCTATAGAGCTGCAGAGCTGCGTCCCCCTCCTCCCCTCGCCCGGGCCGTAGTAGTGCAGGTCGCCGGGAGAGGCGCGGGCAGAGCTCTCACGAGGTGCGCTGCAGCTTGTGCGGGCGCATGCACTCCACGACGAGGAGGACGCGCGTCGGCGGGGGCGCCCGGGAATGTGACGCGCCGCGACCCGAGCTGAAGCCGCTTCGCCGCCCGTAACCCGTAAGTGAATGCCTCGCGGCCGCCGCCGCGCTCCTCCAGCCTTTACGATGTGCGGGCGCCTTTCACAACAAAACCCGACCGGGGCGTTGCGCTGCGGCCGGGCCGGGGCCGCCTCGCCCATTAGGAGACGGCCGCGCTGTGCATCCCGCCGGCCCGGCCCAATAAAGCCCCTGACTGATGCCCGCCCAGAACGGCACGTGTGTCGCGTGGTATGGCCCACTAGTGTCACGGGCGCCGATCGGGGACCCGGCCGCGGTTGCCACAGGGACTGGACTACTACTGGCTCGGCCGGGCTCCGCGCGACCTTGGGCGCGCTGGAGGGTTGGCTCCGCTGCTGCATGCCGGCCTGCTCCTGTTTGCCTCATCGGAGCGGAGCTGCGGAGGAGCACGGCGGCCGCGCGATCCGCGGTTTGCATGAGAGGATGGCCGGGCCGCGGCGGCGCGGGGCGGCGCGGGGCGGGGGGTCTGCGGTGCGGCGTCGCGAGGATCGGCGTGAGAGGCAGATTGGACGGTACGGTATGTGCAGCCACCATGTGGCCAGGCTAGACCAGACCGCCAGTGGTCGCAATAATAAGGAGGGTCGAGTCCAGCTGCTGCACCGACCCACGGGGTTCGGGTCTCATCAGGGTCACGGGGTCATTGGGGGTAGACCTGTATCCCGCCTTTTGTCCTCTTTAGGGTAATGGATGATTCAACTACTGTCGACGGCTGTGTTATCCGGTCACCTGGAGAGTTCGTCATGAGAGAGAGAGAGAGAAGGGCGCACTTATTTCGTGGTTGAGACAGGTTCAGAGCCGAACCTGTGGACCTGTAGAGCTGTAACGTCGGTCCGAAACGAGCTTTAGTGATGAGGAAATGGCCCGAGGGCAGCTCGCCGCCAGCAGGAGTAGGCGGTGGGGGTGGATTTGTTTCTGTCGGACTCTTCACTCGCAGAACTTTACTGCTCTCTTCTTCACTGCTGGCCGGCGGCCGCTGGCTCGTCTCTTGATGCCGAGCTTGATGCCCAGTCGGAGGCATGAAAGAGCCTTCCCGCATGTCACCCCTCGCGGAGCGTGACCGCCACGATGAGCGTGACTGCCACGAACCGTGACGACGACACGACGCGCCTCCGTCGCGCGCGTGCGCGGAGAGGGCTCGAGTGTCACGTGGTGTCACGCCAACCGGACCAGTGAGGGTGAAAACGGGCTCAACACTTCCCGCTCCGACATCCCCCCCCCCCCCCGGTGGTGCACAGGTAGCAGCTCGCTGAGAATGTTGGGGATCATCCGGAAAGCAAACCCATCCTGCGATCCTCATAAAGTTCAGCCTCGACCCTCGACAGGCTCCCATACCGCCTGATAGGTAGGCAACGTCTTGCCTGCAATGCATACGTGCATTGCGGCGTGGCCTACTCTGAGTCTCGCAGGCGCTGAGCTCCCATAATCTAAATCTGAGAAAATCCGAGAAAAAAACGGACTTACTTTCTGGAAGGCCCCTTAGTCTTGATGCACACAGTCCGTCGATCTGGTATGAAAAGACTCGCTGCTCTGTTTTTATTTCAGCTCGTAGAGGTCGTGGTAAATCAATCAATTCAAAATCGGCAAAACATGATTTCAATTTGGGACACATTGGACGACTTATGATCGGTTCAGATATCACAGGAAGAAGAACATAGGGTAGGGCACAACGGTTCCTAAATTGGTTGAGCCAACTACCCCTACTACCAGGAAGGCCTCAAAGCGGATCACCCGACCAATTAGAAACCTTTATGCTTTTGATTTATCCGCACATTAGTCAAAGTGTGCTGGACCACACTACTGTTTGATAGATTAAGTGGGAGGTGTTGTTGCTGCCCTCGCCTCCTTGTGCCTTACTTCGCTTCCCTCCCAGCTGACGAGCACTGGCAGCCCGGCCTGCCGGCGACGTCTCTCTCTCACCTTGCCGAAGTCCGCGGCGAGCGGCTCGTCGGGGAGGTCGGTTCGGGGCCGGGGCAGTGGGGTGGCACCCGCCAGGGTGACGACGGCCACGAGGAACACGGCCAGGACGCCGCCGAGGGAGGCGGCCGGTGCGGGGGACATGGCGAGGCGCAGCGGGGGCAGCATCCTCCCCGGAGCCTCCGCACTCACTCACTCACACTCACGCACACACACACACACACTCGCGTACTGCCGGCGGCGGGTCCGGGCGGGCTGCTGGCGGGCTGCAGGGCGCGGCGCGCACTGAGGGCTCCAGCTCTAGCTTCTCCGGCCGCGGGTCGCTCCGGCAGCGGCTTCAGCCCCCCCCCCCCTC